AACGACATGTAATTTCTGTTCTCATCATAATTTGCGTTTGAAATTAATTTTTGGTGCTGAAGTAAAAAAAAAAAGCGTGCAAATAAATAGCGTAAAAATATTCATGCTTAATTTTAATGGAGCCTTTTTTATCAATATAGAAAAGAAATATGTGAAATTGCCTTAAGCAATCAGCTATTCCACATATATGTATGTGTTCTTAACCCGTTATAAGATTACAGTTTTCATATTTAGCAAGTAATGTGTTTGGATGTCACTACAATTATTAATGTGTATTACATATACATTTGTATATGTATGCACGTACACATGCGTACATGTATAGTTTACCATTTTCTTTTACATCAAATTAACCTTACAATAGCCATTAAAAATAAAAATGCAATTTTTTTCACTATCATTAATACGAATTATTTACATTTCACAGTTTGCGTTTAACGATTTATTAGTATAAATACTTTCTACAATTTTATACGACGAGATATCAACAAACGGCATTCATAGCTGTTTACTTATTTTAAATTTTTTATTCAAAAACGATTGCTGTTTTGAATTAAAATTTGTTTTGCATTTTCTTTTTATGATATAGTAATTATATAGACATCTTTAATTGAATGTGTTTTGTAGTAAAAGTTTATTTTTGTTTTTAATTTTTGGCGCATATATACAAAAACAAAAACGATTTGAAAATTTAGCGGTGCCTTTAAAATTCCTGCATAAAACAGTATACATAGGCGACTTGTTTTGAGTACAAGACGTTAGCTATACAAACATACAAACTTATATTGATCAGTCTGCCCATTCCGGTGACATCAGTGCGATGGTTAATTGGTTTATCTAGATGTTTTTGAGAATAAATTTAACATAATTCTTCTTAAATATAAATTTTTTACGATTAAAACAAGTCTGAACTTAATGGGCCGATGGCGGATGGCAACCGTTGTTATTGACTGAAATCATAATCGACCTCTAATACAGATTTACGTATATTTTTCTTTAAATGCAACAAAACGAATGTGCAAAATTTGTTAATTTCTTTGCATTGTATTTTGAGCGATTTTTTTCTTCTTATTTTTACTAAAAGAATACATCTAAGTAATATATATTTAGTATACACATATTAACAGAAAAACAGGTTTTAGTTGGTTTTTATTTTGCCCAGCTTTGGGGATACAATACATGTTTTTATAGGCGATATTATTTAATAATTTTTTTTTTAATATTGATGATAAAAAAAATCATACTAAAAAATAAAATGAAATCGTGCTGATTAGTGAAATATGGTATTAGAAACACCGCGAAAAATTATGTTTCGATATATGTATGATAACAAGAACTGTAAACTAAAGTATACACACTTATTGAAAAATAAAATAATACTACATATATGTATGTACTTATGTGTACTGTGTGAGGTTGATGATTTGCATATTAAAAGGTAAAGGCGGTTTCGTTACATTCTCATTGCCCTCTAAGCACAAACACTAATGGTGATTTCGTTTCTACCAAAAAATTTTGCGTTTTGATTGCCCCTTTGTTCAATTCTAAATTAAAAGCAAAGGGTGAGAAAATTGTGTGTTCGTTTCTTAAAAGGTCCCACTCTTGTAAGGCAAAAAAGGCACATTCTCTGCCCTGGGAAGCTTTGTCAGGGGAGATGGTTGCCCTGGAAATTAGATCGTTGTTAAAAACGACAGACAATATTATAAAATACGTGAACTAGACAAGGTCAAGGAAACGCACCGGAAAGGGAAATATTTTTTGCAAAGCGAATTTATACAAGGTGGTGTTGATGGCGAATTAAGATTTTCACCGCGGTACTTCCCAGTGTCAAAATGATGTGTTTGTTGTAAACAAGGCGAATTCATATTACAACAAACACATCATTTTGACATTAAGAAGTACCGCGGCGAAAATCTAAATTCGCCATCAACACCACCTTGTATAAATTCGCCTTGGAAAGGGCAACATTTTTTATAGAAACGAGATCGCCATGATACTTGTACTTAATCTGGAAGGACTGGAAATGCAGGACTTGTGTGCACTACTTTGCAAAACAGAAATTTATTAGATTCCGGCTCAAACTGAGAAATGATTGATGCGCTTAATAAGAAGAAAATTTATTTTTGCCTTTCTAACAGTCGTTTATCTTCTACTAGTCGACACTCGCAATAGTAAATCTAATAAATTTTTTTGCTCTTGGCTAAGCGAGCCACAGACAAGGCAACAGATTGCATGTTTTCAAAAAATTTAGTTTTTCTTGCGATCGGTTGCGTGCAAGGCGAATTTATATAAGGTGGTGTTACTGGCTCAGCTGATTTTGTGTATGTGTTTCGCCGCACGGCTTCTGATATCAAATTGAAAAATTTTGTTTGAATTTCTACACACACTTACAAATTTTGACAGTTTATGCCGCCAAAGCAAAAACAAAATACATGTAAATTTTTGTTTTTGTACTCCTGCTATCACTTTATATTAATTCGCCTTGGTTGCGTGTGTGTAGCCGAGTTCTTAGATTTTTGTAATTTATTTTGTGATTCCGTAGAGTGAACATGAGCGGATAAATAGCAAGATTAGGTAAAATATTTATTAAGGAACTAATAGAGTGGTTAAATAGAGTTCAATACGTAATTTAACATGTATTTAATAGAGTTGTTGTCCTTTCTGTGCACATGCTTACTTGCCAACGTAAAATGGAAATCGTCAACCGATTCACTAGTGTGTAGCGAATAGAGTTGCAAACGATTGCTGTGATCTATTGCCTGTCTGTGGCTCGCTTTACGTAATCTGGCTAAATGGGCCTATACACCGACCGACTTCTTATTCAACCAGTTATTCAACTGTCAAATTCCTCGACACCTGCGCCGCTACAACAACAACAACACCTGCGCCACCTAGAGGATTCAATCTTCTTATTGGAATGTCATCGGGTTCTGAGCTAAGTTTGAACATTAAGGGCCGGTTGTTCAATGTCTGATTAGCACAAATCGGAGGTAGAAGCTCTGGTTAAGCACAACTACTGCTTTATCGATCACATGTTACATACATGATGTCGAAATCGTCGATAGTGTAGTGGTAGTGATAACCAGACATTGAACAACCGGCCTTAAGATTTTTATACAAGGTGCATTCTTTTGCAACCGAGCTCCAAAAGAACACTCGCTTAAATGGCGAAATATACGCAAACCAAAAAACAATAATTCGGCTATTTATCTGAGTTCAGCCAGGTCGGTAAAAAAATAGGCGACCTGAGGTGTAGTGTTGTTAAGTGAAAAGCTGTGAACTGTCTAAATCCCGTTAAACTAATCACATGTTTTCATGAACCCAAAGGACAAGATCACGCAAGAACGCGACGTTGTATTTGTAACTGGTTTTGAGAAAAAAGTTTGCGAAAGTGGGTTCGTCATCTGAGCGTTTTTTTTTTACATCACAGATTAGGTATTTCAATATGACAACACATTCTAAAACGTTTTAAGGAATAATTACGGATCCGCTGATTTCACGGCGATTTTGTACCTTCTGTCGAAATGATGTGTTTGTTGTAATTTCGATTTGTACTGATACTGTCAATGTGAGTATAATTTTTTGTTGTAATTTTTGTTTCTGTTCTGTCAACACCACCTTGTATAAATTCGCTGGCACAATTTCAGTATGCATTTCTTTTCCCCAAAAATTTTGAGTTGCTGTCGACAGAGAAATAAAGCTGTACCGAAGATCGTAAATCCTTTATGATTGCGAAAAAATACTTTTTAAGTGATGGTTACTCTGGGACAATATGGCAGCCGTTTTTGACAACAAAGGACTTAATGCTGGCAATATCACACTCGTATATAAAAATGGCAAAGAATGAAAAAAGATAAAAGGCGATAAGCGGAAAAAATACCACCGCATAATTTAAACGCATTTTAAATGTGTTAAAATAGTTTAAAAATTAACTAAAAGTGCATAAAAGAGCGAAAGTAACTGTGTATTTTTGGGGTATAGTAAAATGTAAGTAAAAAGTTGGCGGTTTAAAGCTTAGTAAATGAATTTAGTCAAACGCTTTTGCAGACATTTTAGCGTTCTTGATTTACCTGCGGTAATGCCAAACGTTTTCTTAGTTATATATTCTGTTAGAATATTTGTTTTTTAAACGCGTAGATTGTAATTTAGACATATTCGTATTGATCAAAAATTATACCATTGCCAAAAGAATAATTAGGAAAGGAGGGTATGGAATGTGAAAAACATGAAAAAGCCATGAAACAGGGTCGCATTGCCATAAGATTTTTTTTGGTACTTTTTCCGTGTTGTTTTTTGTTAATAAAAGTATGAAGTCTGCCCACAGCCATCGGTTTTAGTACCATGACGACCAAATTGAATTTAAAATATGTATGTAGCTGCCAATCGGGGTTCTCTACCGTAATACCATGGACTGGGCGACATCGAAAATATATTTTCGTTGCTAATGCTGGGTTTCGACCTAAAACTTGTGTTTTCGTCCATGTAAAATCTGTCAAAGGAAAACCAATTTTCGCTGAAAACTACTTGAAAACACAGGTTAATCGGTGTCTGTACTAGTTTTTTTCGATTATTCATCGAAGTGGAAGCCATATTTTATCATATGGCTGTTCGGATTTGTTGTTAATTGGCTGGCCAAATTATAAAAGAAAAAAGTAATCAGAAGAAAATGAAAGAAACGTATTTTGGTTTTGTTATTTTGTAGCAAAACTATAAACAAAGGATGTACCAAATGTCAACGAAAACACTAACCGCCCGCTGTGAACAGCCTTCAGCCCACAATCGCAGAACTCGTTTCAAAGTGTTTTCGTTGTCGGTCAGAACATGGTATAAGTGGTTGCCGAGCTTAATGTAATTACCATTTTGTTTCACTTTAAATCCACTTTCAATGATTAATTTCTGCTTTGTTCTTCTCTTACTTTATTCTTATTTGATATCGTACAATATACAAGTGTTTTAAGCACTATAGTGCAACAGAAATGTGTAGGTTTGGTGGATGCAGTTCGGCGTCGAAATTCGTAGTAGATACATACGTGTTTGTGCCACAGAAGTGATAAAAAAAAAATTAAGGAACAAAATGAAAAGGAATTCAACGAATAGTTTATAGATTCTTTTACAAGTGATATTTTTTGGATTCCTTAAGTCAACTGCTCAACCTTACGTCAAAATGTGAATTACTGGGAACCTTGGTGGTTTTCTAATTAGTGATTTTGTTGATAATGAATTTCGAATCATTTTCGCATATATGTGAAGAAAAAAGGGCTAAGTATGCATATATATCAGTAACAAAGCCATGCAATGTAAAAACCATAGAATTATATAAAAAGGTCAGCAAATCCACAGTTTCGAATCGCTCGCGAATTTCATTTAAGTTTGGTATATGCATGTGTACTTTTTGTCTTCAGTGGGTTGAGGAAAGGTATGCGAGAAATGTGAAAAAATGTGGTCTTTGCTCCTGTGTGGTCATACCAATTGGGAATGCTATCAAGGGACCTACAACATCGCTGTAAAGCCAAAGTGGCCCGGCTATTTTGATAATTGTTAAAAACTACATTATAGTCGCTACATTCTACAAACATAAATACATACATACACATACAATTCGTCGTTTAAAGTAGACAAGCGCGTATCAACATAATGCAAAACCGCGTGTGTGAGGCAGGAAGGCTAAATGAATTTTGTGTGTTTGGCTTGGTTGGCAGGATGTATTTGGGGTTTGCTTTCCTTTATGGCCGTTCGTTAAAGGGGCGTTGGGCGAAAGGTAAGTGGGCGTGGCACCTCTAACCCTCCTTTTTGGAGAGGGAATGAACCGCCATTAACAAAAATGCAACCCCCGACCACCTAGGTCCCCTATGGTTCCCTAGGGACCCCTTAGAAAAATTGCCAAAAATCGCAATTTTCATTTGCTTTTATTCGCTTCAAAAATGTTAAATATTCATTTGCACAATACATTTTAATATACTCATTTTTATATACAAGACATTTTTATAAAACACTCTGTAACCAAAATAGACATCACTGGGGCGGCAACCCCAGGTTTACCACACAGAAAAGGAATTCTAGTTACCTTATTCTTTCCCAAGGTTACATTCTACGTAGTAAGGGTTATAATCCCTAAGCGCGGCCGAAGGCCGCCTACGCTGAAAGAAATTCTACGCAAAAATACTGTGAAAATTGCGATTTTTGGCCATTTTTCTAAGGGGTGCGTAGGGAACCATATGGTTCCTAGGTGGTCGGGGGTTGCATTTTTGACAATGGCGGTTCATGCCCTCTCCAAAAAGGTCGGTTGGAGGTCCCACGACCACTCCCCCTTCGCCCACCGCACCTTTAACGAACGGCCATAATGGAAAGTTTCCCCTGTATTTGTTCCTCTTGCTGCTACTCGGTCATGTGGCATATGTGTGTTGATATCGACAAGTTGTGTGTAACTTAATTGAAGACAATTGAGGGATTCACAACGGTGTCGCAAGTGTCGCAAGTGTCGTATTGTTATACGTCGTAAACTTTAAAACCTTAAATAAATGTTTATAGAACTTGAAACGACAATCATCCATTTTTTAACACTACAAAAATTCATAATAGCTCTGATCCAATACTTTTCGTGAAAAATCCTGTAAAACTGTCAAGCAGCAAAATTACTCTCTGAAGTGAGAGTAAAAAGTGAGTAACAACAAAAAGTACGGGGAACAAGAAATCCATTTTTCCTGTAAAAACGTCAACCAGTGATTGCTTGACACTTTTCATGACTTTACCAGAAGAAAAAGTTTGGGTAAAATCTTGCAACTTCATTCTCTACACAACTCTCCAAAAGTCCCTGTCAGTTACAGGATTTTGGAGTACGGGAACATTTTTCCTGCAACTTCCCACAAGTTCGTGTAAAATCCTGAAAGTTCATGGAGTACTGGATCAGAGCTAATATGACTTTGGTGGTACTTATAAAAGCGGGGATCCCGGGATTAACATTCCTAGTAAGCATGCATGTTATAGTACGATTTTCATCACAATTTTAATAAAAATCCATCAACTACGCTATTTTGCTTAGCGGAGTTCAGTGTTTTTCATGTTTTGGCCTTGACGTTTCTCCTCTATTTACCAAACATAACACAGACTTGTAATAGTTATGTTTAATGAGCTGCTCTAGGTTACGTCAGGTTAATATATCTCACAAAATTGTGTTTCATGAGGATTTTGCTTGCTCTAACTTACTCTAGTTTCTGTTTCATGAGCCAGCGCTAAGTGGAGCTAGAGCAACTTAGAGCACGATTTTCTGCACCAGCTTTTTTGATGGGGTAAATTGTAGCAAGCAACCGTTTTGAGAATTTCTGCATGAAAAGTGTTTCATGAGATTTGTGAACTGAGTTGCTCTAACTTGCTCTATTGTTTTTTTGACATCTGCTTGACTTGAGCTGCTCTGAACTTTTTTCGGTCTAATTAAACACAACTATTATGTAATGTTTTTAATATCTAGGCATGTTAAATAAAAATACATCTTAGGTTTTTTTCTAGCATGTCGAATTTTTTTTTATTGATGACATACATATATTTTAGGATTTTTAACATTTGCATGAAAACCCAAAATAACTAATTTCTAGTTGAATTTTTATGTATAAAAATACCGATAGACAAATTAAATCAGAAAGACTTAAGTAATTTCGAAGTTATAAGTTTTTTTAACTAACGCTGTTGGTTTATAAGTAAAAATTCAATTCTAAATTTATTAATTTTTGGCATTTTATGCAAATAGCTAAACATCCTAAAATATTTACTATGTCACTAATAAAGAAATCTCGACGTGCTAGAAATAAGCCAAATATGTATTTAAATTTAACGCACCGAGATATTAAAAAAATAATATAAAAAATCCAGGCCTGTGTAATCTATAAATCAGGGTTGCAGACGGAAAAGTCATATTTTTAGTACAGGATTATTTTGGATATGAGAGGAGAAATTTTAAATTCTTAATTACGTATTGTAACAATATTGCGAAATTTATAAAGGGCAGCAATCTATCGGATATCCGATGGGACGGCTCTTATTTTTTACATGGTATCCGGAATCCGGTCATCCGGCAAAATCTCTATCCGGCACATCTATATAAATAAACTATCGGAATCGATGGTTAAATATGTTAGCATGTCATGATTTTTTGTTGGCAGGTCATGAGCTGCATTGAACATTTCCTTGGAAATAAGGGCACATATATGTATGAATAAAAGGTTTGCCGGCCTTCTCCTAAAATTTAATGGGCTACAAAACTGCATACTTAGAAATTTAGTTGAATTTTTAAAATTTTTGAAATATGGACTTATGTGGTTTTTGTTAGACAATGAGCTGTATTTTAATAAAAAAAAAATAACCATTAGACAAACAATGGAAAACAGCTAAAAACGGTCAAAATTTCGTGTCGCTATTAATTTTCACATGGCTGTATGTATTTATGTATGTATGTATGTCCTTTTATTAACTTTTTGTATCATTACTGCTTTACTGCATGTTTATGTGTACATAATAATATTTTAATCGCAAAAAAAACTAACTTATAATTTCTTTATTTCTTCAATTTACTTTCTTCGACTTCGACTGATTATCGCTTACTCAAAGTACTTACTTAGTATGCTATACTGCTTGCGAACCCAAGCGGGAAGCGTGAATTATCTACATAGAAATAAGAAAATAATATTCATATGCACATGCACATATGTATATGTTTATATACAATGTATATACATATATCTCTATTAATAGTTTGTTAAATGCCATTTTTCCTTACATCCAACTGTTATTGACAGCAGTTATTCCATACCTTCATAGTCATAGTACACCATCTCAATCTCATTGCAAGATTGTCGGCAGTAAAAATTTTATCGTCTTTTTCGTTCTGACCACCCGGACCGACGACGCTTTTCAGTGGCTCAACACTTTGACTTTACACTTAGCTCAATCAGACTAATATATTTAGCATACAATAAGGTCATTTGGCATTTGAACTTTTTCAATTTGTATTAATTTGTCAAGGGGTGTACTCAGAACTAAATAATCATCAGCTAGAATAGTGCAGCTGATGTTTAGTTGGAAAGTGGAGAAAGCGGATTTTCATTTCGTACATTTGTGCACTGAATGATAACTGAGCATAGGGTTTCTTCTCTCAACAGTTTTCATTGTAATGTACATAAATAGGAAGCTTCAATTAAATTGCTGGCTGACTTGTGGAGGCGGCCCGATTGAATTTTTGCGCAGCAGAACAATCATTTTTGACGAGATTTTTTTAAATTGGATATCATTGCATATATGCATTGTAGTTACATACATACATACATATGAGAGACCATAACGATTATAAGAAATAAAATTAAATATTTTGTATAATTATAAGCTGTGTTATTTTTACACACATAACATCTACGCTTAAAGACTAAAAAAAACAATCAGCGACAATTTCCATTTCCAAACAAGTAATTTTGATTTTATCGACAACTATACATAAGCGCACATAAAGTTTGTCGATTAGAGCTCCATACAATTTTTAAATGCAGATAAAAAAAAACGCCTATTATTGAACAATGGAAAAGTTGTTTTCGTCTCCTGAGATGAAAATCAGACTAAAAACTTTTTCATCTTCTCCTAATAATTATCTGTGACTTTTATTTTTTTTTTCGTCTCGCTGGAAGTTTATATCAACATGAAAATGATGTACGTATTTTCATAATAATTACCTACATGCGACTTTTATTGAAATGAAACTTAATTGAGTTCGGAGATTTAACCCGTTAAATTATTCATGTCATCGAATCTGTATGGTTCGTTCGATTTTCAAAAATGAGATGTCAAATTAAAGGGATTTGCTTGTTAATTTTTTTTGTGGCGTATTCATTTTTATTTCAATAGTGTTATTGAGCTTTGTTTGTACTACGATCTGTTTGTTGGGGGAAAAAAATGGAAAAAACAACAATGCTTGAGCGGTAGAAGTTATAGCAGCTATTTCGGAGATCATCGCATCTCTTCATCAGGGCTTTGCTTTTGGACATCGTTTTTTGAAAAGGGTTGCCAGATGTTAGCAAATCAAATTGCAATAATCGAGCTCGGAGATATTTGCGATTAATTTCATGAAATCGGCAGTAAATGTACCGATTCTATTAAGAGAAAACGTGGAACGTAAATCATTTCCGTCTTGAAATAATCGTGCCGCGAGACGAAAAAAAATAATTAAAATCCCATATAATTATTATGAGAAGACGTAAATAATTTCCATCTGAAAATAATCGTCCCCCAAGATGAAAAAAGATATTTCTCGTAAATAATTTTTATACAAAGACGAAAAAAATTTCTT